CCAGTTTCAAGTTAATTTTTATTTATGGTTTGATGTAAAGGTTGATGTTCACCTTTTGCCACATGCATATCCAATATTTCCAGTAATTTAGTGAAAGTAACTTCTATTCTCATTGAACTGCGTTGCCACCTTTGTTGAAGATCAATTGATCATATATGTGTGTGAGTCCATTTCTGGACTCTCTTTTCCATTCCAAAGATACATATGGCAATCCTTTCACCGACACCACACTCTTGTTTACTGTAGCTTTAGAGCAAGTCTTGATAACAGTAATTTAAGTCACCTAATATTGTTCTCTTTCAAGAATGCTTTGGAAATTCTAATTCTTTTGCACTTCCATATACATTTTAGAATCGGATTCTCAATTTCTATCAAAAAACCTGCTGGAATTATGCGTGGAATTACATTGAATCTATAAATTTGAGGACAATTCACATCTTAGTAACTTTGATTCTTCCAGACTATAAACATGGTATAGCTACTTATTTGGGTCTTCTTTAATTTCTCTAAGGAATGTTTTGTAGTTTACAGCATAGAGGTGGTCACTTTTTGGGTTAAATTTTTATATTATTAAGTACTTTGTGGTTTTTAACATTATTTTGAATACAATTTTTAAAACAGAGTTTTTTGAAACTTATTCTCTGATCCTTATGAGTTTTATGCCCTTTTCTTGCCTACTCCACTGACTAGGAACCTCAGTATAATATTTAATGAAGTGGTGGAAGTGAGCTCCACTGCCTTATTCTTAATTGTAAGGGAAAGCATTCATTCCTTCAACTCTAACTGTGATAGTAGCTGTAGGTTTGGTTTTGTTTTGTTTTTTGTAGATATCTGAAGGGGGTTTGAGGGTTTTGGGGACTGATCAAGAAAAGATATCATTGGGTAAGATAGTAACACACCACAACAAACTACTGGGTGGCACGTGGGTAGGGTTGAATGAGAGAGAAAGTCCCTAACAGCATGAGGACTTTCAAAGGCTTACAGTGACAGCCTCTTCTGGAAGGCAGGCAAGGGACCTGCTTGGGGACAGGAAGGCGGGAGAGAGGGCCTGTGTGTCTAGGTGACGTCACTCAGCAGCAAGGCGGGGAGTCTCCAGGTGAGAAAGCTCTGAAGGGCAGCAGCTGCTTTGGAGCCTGGTAACTAACAACCACAAGGCCCGAGCTTATCAGTGTGTAGGGACAGCTGTTGAGTGAGGTTTCATGGGTATGAAAAGCAGGCAGCGTCTAAATAACTAAAAATACGCTTGTTTGGACTATTTTAAAAATAACTTAAAGTGCGAAATTTTGATTTTGGTGCTGGGAGGCTCTTGAGCAAATGGTCTCAGCCTGCAGTGAAGAAATAAACGACCGAGGGACCATTGCACAGATGCCTTTTTCATTTACATAACATATAAATATGACTGTATTTAATTTTCTCTGTTGCTATTATCAATGAGGTTTTTCTCTATCAGTATATCTTCTAATTGATCACTATTTGTGCACACAAGAAGTCTACTGATTTCTGTGTATCAAATTTCTATCTGCCACATCATTGAATTTTTTTTTTTTGGTTAGAATGAGTATCATTTATTCTCTCAGGTTCTTCAGGTATAATTTTTATCATGCGCAAATATAATTTTACTTCTTTTTCAATTCTATTCCTCTAATTAGTGTTTCTTATCTAATTGTGTTAGCTACAACACCTCCCCGCTTTCATAAGGCTGGCTTTTCATCTATATGGAACTGATCTGAAATTGGTAATGGACTAGGTTATTGTTTCATAGACTCCTGGAGTTAGAAAGAACTCAGAGGTCACGTCAGTGATTCTGTCACTTGACGCATGGATCTTTCTTACATCACTCAAGCCGTCACTTGGTCTCTTCTTGAACTATCTGTTCCCCTTCTTCTGGTAAGTGCTTATCACCCTGTACTCACTCCCCATAGTTCTGGGTGGTTGTCAGTCACTCCATTCTGACGCTCCTGCCCCTGGCTTAAGGTCCAGGCCAATTACATAGGATGGCTATAAAATCTGGATATTTAGCTACTATTAATTTTTTTTTACAGATTGAACCTCTTTTATTACTTTTTCTGTCATATGCTAAAAGTGCAAATAATACATTTGTGAAAATGAAACACACAAATTACCTGAGGCAATGCACACAGATGCACGTGCAGTGTGGAAGGAAATGCATTCCCTCCCTTTGCTGCAGCTCAGCTCATTTGTTTCTCGGAGATCAATGCCTCCGTCCAGTGTTTTCGAAACCACTGTGACATACATTTTTATCAGGCGTTTTATTTGTTTCAGGCAGGGGGTGGGGGTGGAAATCCAGTTCCTGTTGTTCCATACTGGCTGAAGTGGAAATACACTGTCATTACTGCAGTTTTTCCCAGCACACAGAAACTGGGCGTTATCATTGAACATATCACTTAATGTCATTGAACATAACATGCGTGGTAATGTAATATCGATAAACTAGCATGCATATCTGTCCTGTAGTCCAGCCTTGAATCCCCGGGGAGATGAAGAGGGACAGAACAGTCTAATGGTCTCTCTGCAACCTGGCACACTGTCAGCACTCAGCTGCTTGCTGAATAACTGAATGAACACATGCAGGCTTACATGAATGCATGCATGTACGAATGAATCACTATGGTTGGATGAATGGCTTCTCTCCCACCCTACCAGTTCTCCACTGTGCAGACCAAACCCAGATAACTGCTCCAGGGCCTTCCAGAGTTCTGGGGGACAGTGTGCTTCCCCACACACTATCTCCTGCCTTGTTCTAGCTCCTTCTCTTACTCCTCAGTTCCTGCCTCCCTGCATTAATACTTTTACTCTGATGCTGAGCTGATGTCTCTTTTTCTTTCATATTTTTGGAAGTGGATTCCTCCTTTAAGCTCTTTGCCATAACCTTGGTGACCCCCCCGCTTTTGGGAATGTAAGCATCACTTTTAATTAGGTTGTGAATTTGAGGGTATCACAATGCTGCCTTACCTTTTCTATTTGCAAAAAGCAACTAAGATTTTCCTTATTAATAATCTGTACCCTATTCTTATCTAGCCCCAGGGCTATTACTGACAAGAAGAAGAGAATTGGGGAAATTTTTTTCACTTTTGAAATTAATGAAGCTAATTTTACCAAAAATCATTGAACAGAAGTGAATAATTTTGTATGCCATTGTTAAAATGTGTTCAAAGACAACAGTAACAAACAGCCCGATAGTTTTGGAATGTTCCCAGTGTAAGAGCTTTTATTCTGCTTCCACGCTCAATTAGAGGGACCTACAACAGACTAGAGACAAAAATAATTAGGGACGGCTCAATAAAAATTTCCAGAAAACAGTAAGATAGGTAACGTTCAGCCTTGCAGCTCTCAGAAAAGTTACTAGGACTTAATTTCAGTCCTAACATTAAATGATAAAATTCCTAATTCAGATGAGATACTCAATTTAAAATTAGATGGCAGGCTTGGATTGGAACTACATCATTTCAAGATTAGAACTACAGATTTCAAAAAATTTAAAAATCCCATGACAGTAATCTGTCAGCTCAAACTTCCAGGGTGGCGTGGGGAGTTTACCGGAAGACTGAGTACAGTTCCGTGAGGACAGGGAGAAGAACGGGATAAAGAATGGTCCGGAAAAGCCAGAACCACTAAGCTCAAACAGGCAGGGGGTCCGGGTGGAGGGCGGCACGGAAGTCTGCCTGTGCTGCAACCGGGGCGGGGAGGGCGGGGGGAGGGCGGCCTTACCTCAGCAGAGGGGCTAGTCCCACAGTGTCCGGTGGCTGAGGCAGCCCTGGAGGGACACTGGCTCTCTCCTACATGGTTGCCACCAGCTGCTTTAAGCTTTCCCAGCGATGCTCCTCAGCCCTTTGCTGCTTTACAAGGGCAGGGTGGGACTGCTCCAGGTGGAGGCGTGGCAGCGATGGTGTAGCTGGTTGACTCCTAGACCCCAGGGCCGAGGACCTTCTCTGGGAAGTGGATGTTAGCGTTACTTAAGGGTGTTAGAGTTTTTGCCGTGGTGTGGCCTAAGCTGGCCCGGAACCTGGGCAGTGACCGCGTGTGCACTACCCCCGGGAGAGGTCTCAGGGTGCTCCGGAGACAAACGATGTCGTCCCCCTCCCGCCTTGGGCTTGACGTGTCTCTTGGGGCAGGACTCTCGGGACCTGTTGCCACGGGAAGAGTCGTCCGAGTCCGAGGATGCCATCTCCTGGAGAGGCAGCCTCTTGGCAGCTTTCTTTTTCTTCCTTCTAGGGTTCTCCTGTTTTAGTGCTTGTGAATCCCCAGTGTCAGCTTCTTGGATTGGCCATACTGGTAAAGTAGAGTTTCTCATGTCCATGTCTTCCCTAGAGAGAGAGAGAAAGAGAGAGATCAGGGTTGCCCTGGTCTTGACAGCTGCTCTGTCTACAGAGATGTCCAAGCCAAGAGGTAACAAGTGTGGGTGAGGATGTGGAGAAAAGGGAACCCTCGTGCACAGTTGGTGGGAAGGTAAACTGGTGCAAACACTACAGAAATCAGTATGTAGGGTCCTTAAAAAATGAAAAATAGAACTACCATCTGATGCAGCAACTCCACTTCTGGGTCAAAAGCCAAAGTAAATGAAATCAGTATGTTGAAGAGATATCTGCCCTCCCCCGTTCACTGCAACATTATTTACGATAGCCGAGATATGGTAACTAAATGTCCATTGGTGGGTGAATGAATAAAGAAAATGTGATATGTATGAAATATTATTTTGCCATAAAAAAGAAGGAAATTTGCCATTTGTGACAACATGGATGGACCCTGAGGGCCTTATGCTGGTTGAAATATGTCAGAAAAAGACAGATGCTGTAAGATCTCACTCATATGTGAAACCTAAAAAAAGCCAAACTCATAGCAACAGAGAATAGCATGATGGTTGCCAGCAGCTGGGGGAGTGGGAGAAATGGGGAGATGTTGGTCAAAGGGTATAAGAAATAAAACAAAATATACTGGGCAGTTTATTTTATCTAGAAGTGTTGTCCTTCAAAAAAGGCATCTTGGGAACACCATGACCCCATTCTAGCCATGCCATCATGACACTCCATTTTGGGAACTTGCTTTTTTCAAAGCCTTCAAGGTAAATTAAGGACAACAGCTGCCTAGTGTTAAAACTTATTTTGTTTCCATAATCGGTATCTGCCATCTTGGCTCACCCAGCTTTCGCTCTGAATAACTGTGACCATGGCTGCTTCGGAACCTTTTGGAAATTGTCAAGAAAAAATTAGCAGATGTGAGAAAAGATTTTTAGTTATTTTTAAACAGGAAGTCCCATCAATCATATCCCTCTTCCAAGGATTAAGAGTCATCTACATGTGATACTTTTCAAAGACTGGCTCAAGGACCCAGGAGGTAATTTCCAAGAGAGATTAAAAAACTGGCCACCCCTACTAGGATAGCTGTTGCTGAAAAAAAGAAAAAACAAAACCAAAAAGTTAACAAGTGTTGGCAAGGATGTGGAGAAACTGGAACTCTTGTGCACTGATGGTGGGAATGTAAAATGGTGCAGCTGCTGTGGAAAACAGTATCAAAATAGTAACAATAGAATTATATGATCCATCAATTCCACTGCTGGGTATATACTCACAAAAAGGGACCCAAACGGATCTGTACACTGATGTTCATAGAAGCATTATTCACAATAGCCAAGAGGTAAAAGAAACCCAAGTGTTCATTGACAGACAAGTGGATAAACAAAATATGGCAAAATCATGCAATGGAATACTGTTTAGCCTTAAAAAGGGAGGAAATTCTGGCACTTGCTATAACATGGATAAACGTTAAGCCAAGTGAAATAAGCTCATCACAAGATGACAAACACTATGATTTCATGTATACAAGGTCCCTAGTCAAAATCATAGAGCTAGAACATAACATGGTGGTTGCCAAGGGCAGGGTGTGGGGGGGAGAGGGGATGGGATGCAGAGTTCACAGGTGCAGAGTCTCAATTTGGGAAGAAGTTCTGGAGGTGAATGGTGGTGATGATTGTATAACAGTGTGAATGTATTTAATGCCATTGATCTGCATGCATTAAAATGGTAAATTTTATGTTTTGTTTATTTGACTACAAATTTTTAAAAAAATGGCCTGACTAGTAGCCATAGCATTGGCAAAATTCTTCCCAGGAGACCACCAACAAGATGATCCTGAAATGTTAAGGCCAGCACCTGTGTGGATGTCTAAGTTCTGTGAGGCCAGGTTCTCGGAGATTCATCTTGAAATCACACTGCAGGGTTGTAATCACCAGCCTTGTTCTTTGAAGTCTAAAGTCTTATCCACCACACTACCATCAACTATCCCTCAAATTGCTATCTCCCTCCAGAGCAGACCGAGTTGATACATATACTACTTCCTTCTCAGAGGTTTTTCTCTATCTCCCATGTATTAGGATTGGTCCCAGTCCAGTCTACAAGCTATAAACTGTCAGAAAGAAGAGAAACAAGGAAGGAGGCGTGGGAAGAGAATTTTTCAGGTGCACCAGAGGTACCCAAAGAGTAAGGCAGAGGAGGGGCTACCTACCCACCTGAAGGACACTGGGAAGACGATCTTGGGAGGAACCCAGGAAGAAGAGAATCTAAGACCAAGAGCAGCGCACATCTGGCCCTCAGTAGGGGGTTGGTCACCTAAGTTATGGACAACCTGAAGGATTACACTGGAGGCAGGCAATAATGAAACAGAGGTGCCCTTGTCATGCAAAGATGCAAATAATGTATTAAATGGAAAAAATCTGCAAACCAGAATGTATGGTACAGCTTCATTTCTATTTTTAAGACTGAATGCATGGGATGACTGGAAACCTTTGATTCAATCTCTTAATCGTTGCTTCAGGGAAATGTATGCCAGTGGAATCCTCACTTCCTCCACATTAAACAATCTTTTCTCAACTGTCATAAATAATGAGAAACAAAGCTTTTTATTTTGAGGAGAAAGAATCAACATAGCAGAGAAAACACTCTAGAAAGATATATATCAAAGTATAAATGATTAGTTTTGAACTGAGGGACTATAGATGGTTTTTTATATCCCTTTTGCTTTTAATTCCTAAATTCTATTAACCATGCATTAACTTTTGGAATAAGAAGAAAACCACTTAAGTTGTCATGATTAGAATAAATATGAGCTGGGATTTTGATCCTGGAAAAGGAAAAGCCTTTATTTACATAAACAAAGCATACGCTGCTGGGCCACCCTATTTACTCTCCAGAATGACGGAAGTTGACCAAGTTCAAGATATTCCACAAGGAAATGTCCCCTCATGGGATGGGGGAGCAGGGTAGATGCGATCTGATGTGAAAGCTCTTAGCCACGCCCTCCCCACCAGGCACCCTCCCTCTGCTTGGCCCAGCCCACTCTGTGGGAAGGGGAGGGGTGGCCGAGCTCTTGATACCGGCTGGTGGGCTGGTGGACCGTCTCCATCAGCTGGCTTGGAAAGGCACTGCTAAATGGCTTTCTTTTGCCCCATCTCATGACCAAGAGAGTTAAATTAAGTCCCCTATGCATAACTTTAGGCTACAGAATTGGTTAAATAACATGACAAATGGGCCAACACTGCGGGGAGCCAGGCACTGTACCTTTGTGACCTTTGTGACCTTTGTGGGCTCTTCAGAAGCAGCTGGATCCACTTCAGGGAAGAGACAGCTGAGCACCCTCTCCCTGCTCGCTCTCTGTGTCTAGCTAGGCCCACCAGTTCGCTTGATCAGGTATTGTCCCCTTGGCCCTGTTCTTGCTGGTTCCCTGAGGCCTCAGGTTTTGTTTTAAGCCGTTCAGACATTTTTTTTTTCTTTAACTGGAGGTACTGGGGATTGATCCCAGGACCTTGTGCATGCTAAGCATGCGCTCTACCACTGAGCTGTACTCTGCCCCCAGGGCTCGCTTCTATTCTGCCCCGAGTGTGTCTCATAGAACATGAAGAACGGGAGGAACTCTGGAGTCAGCACCGAACAGGTGTCTGATAAGGACCAGGAGGCCCCCGAGTTTTAGCAATGCAGGGGCAGAAAATGGAGAGGCTGATGAGAAAAGGCTGTTGTCATCCAAACAGCTCCCACTGGCCCTCAGGAGTAACGAACCTCCACGACTCTCTGCGTTCTCGTCCCAAGCCCGAGCATGCTTTTTGAAGACACAATGGCATCTGTCCCCCGGGATAAGGAAGGACACACAGACACGGTGAATGCTGAATGCCTGCTTTCCCAGCCTCAGGATCTGACCAGAAGGGACCGACAGAGCGCGTGACATACACGGGCTTAATGGGTTCAGGGGCACAGCTCCTTCTAAGGGAAAAATAGTAGTGGCCAAGCGAGATTATGAGAAGTGATTCATCTCATGCAATGTCAGAGGCGGCGCTGAATCTTGAAGTTTTCATCAATGACTTAACATCTGTGCTGTCGGGAAGGCAATGTGAGGCCGCGTGACGTGGAGTAAGGGGAGGAGTGTCCAACAGCATGGGAATTATAATTTCCTTGGAGGCACACTCCTAAATCCAAATAGCTTGATGGAAAATTAACTGCTCAAGGAAAGATAACGAGAGACGAATATTTTGTGTAACAGAAACTGAGAGCTGGCCGCAGACCCAGACAAACCTCATGTGAGCCCCGGGAGGGGGTCTCCTCTCCAGGACTCTCATGCCCAGCCCTGGCCCCAAGGCCACACAGTTACCGGCACACATCAGCGGACGAACACGCCTGCCTTCAGGATCTCACTGCCCAACAGCCTCCTATAGATGCCCGGTGACTTTTCCGGAGCACAGAGGAAATGATTCGTCCAGTCTGGCCTTGCTTTGACCACACTTAGAAGGTGGCTCATTTCTTCAAGAAATCAAACTCCCTCTAAGGCGAATCTTCTTAAGGAGAGAACTTGAAGGTAATTTGCCCAAGTCTTGCTCTGCCAAGAAGGAAGGGAGAATGGATTCCAGCTCTGCTGGGAGGGATTCCCAGCCCGCTACACGGCACCAGCCGCGTGGATTCAGCCCAGGCCTGCCAGGGGCGCCCTGCCCATAGAAGCATGTGGTCCCCACCTGCGGGTGGTTGAGTAACACCTGGTAGAGGCACGTCCCTTCACTGGAGAAAACCAGAAGCCAGAGCATGAAGCCCACCAGGAGTGTTTCCCCTGAAGGGGCCAGAGGCCACAGCCTTCTGACGTGACCAGGACCTCGGGGTGCAGGAGGTAGTCAGGGAGGAGCTTGGGCTGTGAATCTCCAGCCTGGTGAGGAGGGAGGAGGCCAAAATGGGGGAAAATTCCTTCTGGTCCACTCGCTTCTTGGAGTTAGGAGAAATTACATGTGTTTTCTCTAAATGGACAAAGTTATAGACACGTTAGGGAATATTTTCGTTTAGAACAGACATCTCTGATGCCATGAACCGTAGAAGAGCTCATGGACTTTCCTGAAGGTGAGGCAAGAGCAAGCATTCCCCTCCACCCTCTCAGGAGCTGTTAGAGAACGCGGTCACCAGGTTGCCAGGGAAGGAGAAAACTGCAACAGCCTCACTTCATTTCACACCACAAATACAGTGATACTAAAATTCTCTCCTTTAAGAATTAGTTCTTTCGCATTTAGCGAAACAGGTAACATATTTTACAAGCCAACCTTGCTATAAGTCTTGAAGAATCATTTAAGTGTCAAAATTTTGAACTGAAAATGAAAATTTGCATCAGCTGTGGCCATATTCTGCCATTTTGAACCCCTTCCCCTTCCAAATACTTTCCTTCCTGCCTTCACTGTGTACCACCCTCTTTAGGAACCAGGAGAGATTCAGACAGTTACTAATTTGGGAAGTGAGGGGCTGCAGAGACAGAGGGAAAGCAGTCAAGCAAGAAAAGTGATGATAACGCAAACAACAGTTTAGTGACAAAACCGAGAACTAGTTCTTCCTCAAGGGATAAAAATAACAATCTGACACAGATCTTTGAGTTGTTCTGCAAACAGTAAGACCACCCCCTCCACTGACCCAGGGGGAGGGTGGTGACTACATGCCGACCACCTGCACGGAGACCCCAGACTGGTTGGAACTTGAAGGCTGATGATCAAGATTCCTGAAACACCACCATGTTACCTCACCACCAACCAATCAGAAGAAAGTCCACGAGCTGATCATGCACTATGCAGCCCCCACCTCAAAGGCTGCCATTTAAAACCCTTCCCTGAAAGCCATCGGGGAGTTCGGGTGTTTTGAACGTTAGCTACCTATTCTCCTTGCTCAGTGCCCTGCAATAAATGTACTTTCCTTCACCACAACCGGGTGTCAGTAGATTGGCTTTGCTGCACGCAGGCCAACGGACCCAAGTTCGATTTGGTAGCAGAAAGGAGATGAATCCCACTGTGTGTCAAGCACCTGCTTTACGCCAGGCATGGCAATGGCCGTCTCCAGTGCTCACACCACCCTAACCTCACGATGAAGAACAACTTCTGAGGTGATGAGCAACCTGCCAGGGACACATAAGTGAGTGAGCGTGGGGCTGGGACAAGAGCCCAGGTCTTAGTTTCCGACGCCTCTTCCACTGCAGTCGTCAACCATGGTGGCACACTGCAACCACTCGGGGAGCTTTAAACAACCTGACCCCAGGTCCCACTCTCAGACTGTGATCCTGAGGCAAGAGCACAGGAGCAGTCTGGGTTGGAGATGGAGATAAGAGGTCCTCAGTGTCAACGGAGTCATGAAGCATTGGGTGAGGGTCAAATCAGGCAAGGAGGATGTCCAGAGAGAGAACCAGCCTCAAGAGGCGGGGCTTAGAGAAGGAGGGCGTGGCCGATAGGCAGGTCAGCATGAGTGGAGATGATGGGTGTGAGTGTGTGAGGTGCTGAGCGGTCCTTGTGGAAGCAGTTCCTGCAGGGGGCAGGGTGACACACCCCATGCTTAGGGAGTCAGCAGGAGGTGAGACAGCTGAGCTGACAGGCTGTGAGTCTGCACGCAGAGCCGGGCGGTGAAGGCAAAGGCAGTGCTGGACTGCACTGCAGAGCCCAGCGATGTCTACTTATTTAGGATGTGTGTGCACACATGCGTGCACAGATGTAATAGGGGAGGCAACTGTGGGTTTTCACTGAGGTGAAGGCATTGGGGGAGAGGAGCTAAGGTGAGAGAGGAGGAGAGTCCAGGACACGGGCAGAGGGGACGGGCCTGGTGGACAGATCAGACTTGGACGAGAGGAGGGACTTTGACACTGCGGGGATGATACAGGCTTGCACAAGCCCAGGGGTGGGGAAAGAAGCTCAGGGAGAGAATGTCTGGTGGTTCCTGTTTATGAAGTATGAGGTGAGGCCATTGGGAGATGGATGTTGGCACCCGAAGATGGCACGCAAATTCCAGGTGAAGTTGGAAGGTGTTTCCTGGATCCCTTTCCCCAGCTCATTCTCAAAACCCACCTCCACCTCCAAGGTCTGGGCTCCGGATTCCAACTTTGATGCCCCTCGTTGGCCCCAGGGACCTGGGGTTTTGCCTGCTCTCCAGGCCTCAGCTTTTTCTTACTGATTTTGCTTTAATCCACCTTTCCAGATTTTAGCAATCCTGCTGCCTCAGATGAAAATGTGTTCACCCTGCTGTCGCCCCTGGAGACCCACCCCATCCCCTGCCACTCACCTGGGCACAGGCAAGCCAGGGCCAGCACCTCACTCTCACCCTGAAAAGGGAGAGGTGACAGGTGACTGGTCCCAACTGCAACTTAATCTACCTCGTACCTTACGGTGAGACTTCATTATTTGAATCCTTACAAATAAAAGGAAAATAAATCCGTCAGATTTGTGGCAGGATTGAACACCTTTTGGAAGGGTCAGTAAAATATATAATGTTGAATCTGAGATCAGAACCAGACAGACAAATAGCCAGCAGGTATAAGGCGTGACGCTGAAGGCAGGAACAATCGTCACGGAGCTGCATTTTAAGCAGGAGGTCCCCCAACCTTGCTTTTCTCCCCAGGTGTTTAGAGATCATGGATCTCAACTCAGAAACAGAGTAAAGGTGCAAAGATATAAATAAAATTCAGAAAGTAAAAAAGTTGGGTCCACTTACACTTTTGAATCTTCCAGAATTGGAGGTGATTTTATTTGAGAGCAAGAGAGAGCATATTTGTTTTGGCTGATCTTGATAAGTGCACTCCGAGGGCAAAATTCCTGTAAAAATACCAAAAGTGTTCATTCAAATTTAAATCAGAAATGTCCACAATTCAGATGTAATTTTATTCTAGCTCAACCCATTAGAACAGCTACTAGGCCATTATCCTGTTCCAGGCGGTACTTAAAGGGCAGTTTAAATGCTTGATAATTTTACACGGAATAAAAGTCGTCATTTGGTCCTCTCTGTCATTTTCCCATATCCTGGATTATTTGCCAAGTCCGCCCACATAAGATGTGTGTGTACACGTGTGTGTGCACACACAAACACTCCTTCATGTACCCACCTTCCCGTCTATCTTAATTTCAGCCTTGGCCATCTCTTTCCTAGACTTATAAACTGTCACCGCCATCCCTTGCTGGATGTCCCACCATCAGCCCAAGTCTCCCAGAATTTCTATCGGAATTGTGCTCAGTGTTCCTCCCTGAGACCATGCCATCTGGTCCAGGGCCCCACTGCCCTGTGGGTAACTTCCAAGGTTCTTTCTGGGCTCTGAGGCTCTTTGTCAGGGATGCTGGGTCCCTTGCTTCATCTCTCCCCACATCTGGGATCTGCCCATGGCCCCGTCCCTTCTAACGTCCCTTGTTCTGCTTTCTCCTCTCTTGCCTGGTCTACATCCTCAGAGCAGGGCCACCGGGCTGAGATGTTCCCACCCGCTGCCCTTCCAGGCTGCTTCTTCACTGCCATCCAAACAGCTCCAGGAAAGCCCGTTGTCTCTCAGGGAATTTTCCTGGGTTGATAAGAAGACGCCCTTTCCCTGTCTTGTTCTGTTAGATTAGATACTGCGCTCCTGGGGCCACTGGCTCCGATGGTCTCCACTCATCCACCCTAAAATTCAACCCTTCATCCTAAAATCCACTCACCATGACCGCTTCCCTGATGGCCATGCCTCGCGCTACAGTCAACAACTGACTGGATAGTATTTAAATACAGGCAGCTGAGCACAGACATTCAGGGTGCAGGCGACTGAATCAGACTGCCTGGGCTCAGATACCCGTCCCACCACTTAGCCTGGGTGTGGTGCACCTCTCTGCTTCGGGTTTCTTATCTGAGGATGGGGATAATAGTACAGACCTTTTAAGCTTTATTTCTTCCCCCTTAACAGAGGCGCTGGGAACTGAACCCAGGACCTTGTGTCTGCCCAGCACGCGCTCTACCGCTGAGCTGCACCCCCACCCCCCACCTGACAGTGTTGTGAGCGTTCAGCTGTTCACCGTGGGAGGCACTCAGGTTAGTATTTGTGCTGGGTAAGAAGTGTGTAACACAGTGAACACCAGTTTGGTTCGCTGCTCGGTGCTGCCAATGCATTTTTCAGGCATATTAAGTGGACCATCAGAATGGAAACATCATTCATTCAAGTACTTTATAAAGCAGTTGTGAGAACTTGCTCTTCGTCAGGAGCTGTGCCAGGGATGCACAGACAACTAGGACGCAGTCCCCGCCTTTAAGGAGTGGGGTGATCGGAGAGGCAGCCAGCGTGGGAGGAAGGCAGGACAGTGTGCGGGGGAGCCTGAGGGCCTCGGCAGAAGTCGGGCAGAGTCTTGGGGTGGCAGGAGCTCTTATGGAAAGAAGATGGGGAGGCGGTTCAGGAAGAGGTAACACCCAGGGGCTTGAAAAAGCCCCGTGTTCATGGAGCAGTGAGCCTTCCACAGAGCTGGAAGCCAAGCTCACAGGGCAAGCTGGGCTTGGGCTGGGGTCACATTGGGCTTTCCCTTGAGTTTTCTGAGAAGTGAGTTTGGGGGCGGGGAGGGTACATCAGGCAGGCAAGTGATATCATCAGATTAGTAAACTGATAAAGATTGTTTTCTCGAATTTCAGGGAAAATACACAGGGAAGGACAGCAGACTCAGCCGCAGTAGTTGAGTCTTATCTCTAAAATGGGTTAGTAAAGTTTCCTCTCGGGATCCTTGAGTCCCTAGCTCCTGGTCCAGCTTCCTGCTTCCCTTACAGCATGCTCGGTCTCAGCCTCTAGCAGAACGGGAGGATCTGTAACAGCACCATCATTCTCTGAGGGCAGGTCCAGGTCACGTCTCAGCCCTCCCTGGGCCCCCTCTACAGCCCTGCTCCTCTGCCTGCCACCCTGGCACCTGCCCTCTCTTATCTCAAGGTTCTGCTCATCTAGCTCCCTTTGTCCCCAGGATGCTGTCCAAACCCCTGCTCGTGGGGGTCACAGCCTTCTCAACTGAAGGCTGAGAGAGGGAGTGTTGCAGTAAGAACCCTGGGAGGCTGTGGCCGAGGCCAGGATGGGAGCGAGCCTCCCCAGCCATCGGATGTGGAATGAGAGCCCCAAAGACCGTCTGAAGGATGAAGGTGTGCTAGGAGGCCATGGCGACCTTAGTGAGGGCAGATTCTGTGTTGCACAGTGGACAGATGTCTAACCACAGGGAGTGGATGTCGGGGTGGTGGTGGATAGATACAGCTGAGAAATCACTTTCAAGACTTCCGGCAGTGCCAGGAAAGAGAGAAGCATTGCCCACAAGAAAGGCGGGGTAAAAGAAGCTACTTTCTGCTTACAGAGAAAGTTCTTTTCTAAATGAAAGTCTACTTACTCTCCGGTTGTTACACTTTAAAACTGTGTAGAATTTATCTTCAGCTGCATCCTGGTTTGGAAGGGCTATGACAATGGCGGGGACATAGAAATCAAATCCTTTGGGTACCACAATTTTGGCAAACACGTAATCACCAACCTGTAGATGAGAACATAATTCATAGCAAATATTTTGCTTACAGATGCTATAGACAATATCAATATAAGCTTGTTTTACATCCCCCAAGATGATTAGCAAGTACTAATGCTAGAATTCAAATATTTCTTTTTTCTCAATTGGAAAGAGTCACTAGTTCCAAAATTCTCTGGGCTCACTGGGCCACAGCTAGAAACTTGTGATCAGTTTGGCAAAGCCTCATTTTTAGCAGGACTTCACCTGACATAGGTCCCAGGGACAGCTAGCAAGATGGCAAGGGGTCTGGAAACCATATCCTACAAAGACTGGTTGAAGGAACCTGGAACGTTTAGAGCCAGGCTGGGACCTGGGGCCTGGGGCCCTTTGCTGCAGTGCTTGCACCTGGACAAATGTCTCCTTGAGCAACAGAATACGAAGAAACTATAAGGGGACAAAAGTAACTGTGTGCATGTGAAGTTGGGGTGAGTTATGAGTAATAAGATATAATAAGAACAAAAACCTAACTGCCACTTCTGAGGTGCGGGAAGCAAAAGCAGGGCACTGCCACACAGCACCACCAAGGGGGTGGGCAGACTACCTGAGCCACCCCTCTGACCTGACCCCTTGACCTGCTCCTACCCTCACCCCATTTTAGGAACAAGCTGGCCCCTCCAAACCCCCCAGGGAGTGAGCAAGGGCACTGTAACTTTTTTTTTGCTGCAGCACAAGTCCCAGTAAGGCCTTGCCTGAATTCCTCCTCTGGCCTCTTACCGATTTCTACTGATTAAAGGGTCCAGGAACCCGGGTCAGTAACAGTTTCACATGAGGACCACAGAGAGAATGAACAGCGCCCTACACGTCTGAAGGGTGATCAGGGCAGAGGAAAGGATGAGGTTTGTTTAATGTGGCTCTGAAGCGCATACATGGGGAAAAGTCACAAAGAGAGAAGTTCCAGCAGAAAGCAAATCTCGTGAAGGGGCACACAGGGCTGCTGGGCATCTGTCAGGTGGAGGGGATTAACGGTCAGGGGCAAAGTGCACTGATGTGTGCCTCAAGTCTGCCCAGGGGAGGCAGGGACAGACACCAATGTGGAATCCTGTGAGTGCTCCCAGGGTGCTCTTTGCCCTGGCTCCCAGTATCCAAGAAACAGCAGCAGTGGAGATGGGGGAGGGCTTTCTCTACTCTCTGGCCTTGGTGCTGGGATGAGGATAGCACAAGGGGACAGGCTAGACACAGCACCGTTCTGACGAATTTATAAGCAGATGAGAACACATCAGCCTGGCTCACCCCTCAGATGTATGTTCTGGGCATCAAGGTCTGGCATCAGCTGATTACAATGTCAAGGAAAGTGCTACCTCTGCTCTTTTTTTTTTTTCTTAATTGAAGTATAGTCAGTTTACAG